TAGGTGTTCATCATTGCTCTCCTCTTGTTCCATCTTGAAGTTTGACATCATAAGATCTTTCAATGCTCTTGCACGACAACGATCTAACACTAAAAGCGCTTCCTCCATCTGTTTGCCTTTGATTAACAGTATTGCCAACAGCTTATAACTATCAATATATTTRTCGAAAACTGAGATCTTGAATTCATCAAGACTACCAAGTGTCGCAAACATCGCTTCAAAGCATCGTATAGCTTCTCTTAGATAATGTTCTGCCAAGTTCAGTTCTCTGTTCAAGAAATACAATAATTGACCAAAGAAATAATAAAAGTCGGATAGGTACCCATCAGTATCAGGGCAAGACTCAGCAGCAGGTAGCGCTTGTTTGAAACTGCGTAAAGCCATGTCATTCTGACCCATCAAATGATACAAGTTACCGATTTCTGTGAAACACAACAAGTTTATAGAAGGATCCAAGTCCATTTCTATCAACTGCCCAAGTCATTTGATTGTTTTTTTATAATCTTTTTTGAGAAGATAAAAATTGCGAAGCCTGGAGTAAGCCCTCTGTTTCTCTGTCTTATCGCCTGTCTTCACCGCTTGGTTAAGATCCTGTAATAGCTCATCTTCAGAACATGTTGCTRCCTCTAAWAATTCCTTTAATAAGGGTGCATGACATTTGTCCAACAAACCAACTCTGCCATAAAAATCAAAACGAATTTCTTTGAACTTTTCTTCGGCTTCTTTTTCTCCAAGCTCTGTAGCAATCGCCATGCCTGCATCTATACTCTGAGACGCTTCATTCAACTGCAAGTCCATATATGCTTTAGCGAGATAAAGATGTCCTCGCATCTCAGTTTTTTTATCGCCAATTTCTTGAGAAATGTCCWGGCATTTCTTACCGTATTGGATGGCACTTTCCTTATCAAATGATGTGCTGTATACAAACGCAAGACCGAGACATCCTWGTGCTTCAATCGTTTTCTCGCCAATTTCTTGTGCCATGTCGATGCATTTCTTGTGATAATGCMCTGAATCATTATATTGTCTCAGTGTCTCATATATGTTTCCTAGATACAAACACGCTAATGCCCCCTCTTTCTTTTCGAGGCCAATACGGTTCACGATGTCGATGCAATGCTTGTAATTCCGAATGGCTTCATCGTATTTTTCCAAAGACTGGTATGCCTCTCCCAAAGTCAGATACGCAGTAACGTCAACACTTTTTTCTTCATTATCTTCCTTGTCAATGTGAACACACTTGTTGCAGTTGGAAATGGCATCATCGTATTTCTCCAAGGAATAATATATCTTTCCAAATAAGCTATAAGCACAAGCCTCAGCACCTTTATCGCCAATAGTTACTGCAAGCTCAATACACTTCTTGCAATGGATAATTGTATTGTCGTAGTCAGAAAGAGCGTTATATGTCTGCCCCATTAATAGGTAAGCCAAGACTTCACCACGTCTGTCTTCTATTTCCCTTGCTATTCCAATGCATTTCTTTCCAAAGTCAGTGGCATCTTGATAGTG